CCTGTGATGTTGTACGGCACCTACAACACACACCAGTCAGTCGAGCTTTTTATACCAAATCTTTAATGTGACATCAACCTCGGCCAGATCTAACTTGAGAGAGAGAGGCGTTGCATTCAAAGCGTATTTGCATGACAGACACTCTCAGGTCAAAGAAGATGTCTAGATGTTAGCTTGTAGATGTTCCAGATGTTTTTCCCACCTGTCAGTCAACAGTATCCTTTGATCTCACTGATGTTTTAACTGTAGAGCCATCCAGTTCACATTGCTGTCAGTTAGTTTCCTTGTTGTCATCACAAGTAACCGAATTTCACTGATGTTCTGTGGCCACTTTGCTGCTGAGCTCTTCTAGCCACTGGGCTCTCATATGACTTAAAGCATAAGTATGATCCTGTATAATAAATAACTGGATGTGCATTTGTCCATTTATACCAAAATAAAACATCATAAGATTTTTTTGTCAACTCAAGCTTTTAAAAACAATCCTGAGAATATAACATATTTTTTTTCCATGTTTATATCTTTAGGATTTTTTGTGTTCCTTATTCAAAGTCACACCCGACCAATTCCCATCCCGACGTTCCCTTCCCAGCAGCATTCTACATGTCCAGAGTTTCAACCCAAGCTCAAGAGTAAATTCTAAAGCTTTATGGCTTCACCTGAAAAGGCCAGAACAACGTCTCTACCACCCTGCTGTAGCTCTGTAGCTTATCTGAGCTAAGACCAAAATTAAATTGTCCTGATAAAACTGGTGAACTTCACCTTCAAGTAGACTTCAAATGACCAACAACAGAAAAAGTGACTTTATGAAAGGATACCCACCACTCCAGCATAGTGAACCAACTCAAAGTGCGTCTCATATTTGCGCTTCTTGTCTAGACGCGGCCGCTGGAAGTTGGGTGACTTCCCAAGATGGTTGTCGTAAAGTTTGGTTTTAAAGCTGTGGTCTGTGGCCTTGGGGAACATACATTCCTCCTCCATGATGGATAGAATACCCATTGGCTGGACAAAGGAGCTCTAATTAATTCATTTCATATTCACATAGGCTTCATATTGGAATCATCCAACCCTAACACGCAAACATACTTTCTCTATGAGGTCTATGCAGGCCTGTAAGTCCAAACCAAAGTCTATGAAGGTCCACTCGATGCCTTCAGCCTTGTACTCTTCCTGCTCCAGGATGAACATGTGGTGGTTAAAGAACTGCTGCAGCTTCTCATTGGTGTAGTTGATGCACAGTTGCTCAAAGTTATTGAACTGCAAACAGAAATGAACCATATTTTTGTAGTTACTGATCAAAAGATGTTCAACTCTGCAAAATGACCAAACCACGAGTGACACCAAAGAAGAAAAACCTTTTCTCTGAAAAGCTGTCTGCTAGTGTTTCCTGTGCTAGGTTTGAGCTGACATCTAGGATATCCTTGCTATGATTTCACGACTTTTATTCCAATGGTTTCACACTATTTTTACAGTAGCATTTATCTTCAAAACATATATTTGGTGTCACTGGAAAGACCTGGACCTTGGCTGGATTTGAAGGTGCTGAAAGTGTCTCTTTGTATTTCCTTCGTACCTCAAAGATCTCAAAGCCGGCAATGTCCAGGACACCGATGAAGTACTGACGAGGCAAAGAAGTGTACAAGGACGAGTTGATACGACTCACCAGCCACTTAAACATGCGGTCATAGGTGGATTTGGCCAGGGCGGCCACTGCATAGTTCACCTAGACACAAAACATGTTAGTTTTCCTGGAACCACAGATAAACATGTTTGGAAATTTACAGTCAAGTTTATGTAGTAAGACAGAAAACTTTGATCACCTGTTCTACAGTCTGTCCTTTAACAATAAACTCATTTCCCACTTTCACTCGAGGATTCAACAGGCCTTTCAGCAGGTCAGCAGAGCTGATGCCCATCAGGTAAGCTGCCTTATCTGCACCTTAACACACAAACCACATGCAGGTAATTATCTGAGGTCTCTACCAGCACAGACTAGACATGTAGGGATGGGTATCGAAACCCGGTTCTTGTTGAGAACCGGTTCCCACTGTTTCAATTCCTTGGAATTGTTTGACATTTTTGCAAACGATTCCCTTATCGATTCCAGTCGCCCCGAATAACGTCACCATGTTGCGGAGCGTCATTTACCTGGCAGGAAACACGGCGCCTAAGCGGCTCAAACGCTAAAAAGTTTGGTTATACTTTGCGAGAACGGATGACAACAGGGCAACTTGCAATACTTGCAAAGTAGATATTTCATTTAAGGGAGGAAACACTACGAATATGCAAAAGCATTTGCTCACAAACACGCGATAACCTTAAATAAATGTCGTGTTTTTAATTCCGCTCCGGACTCGTGAATCTCAACCCAGCAGCAGCGGTAACGTTTGCACGTCCTCTCCCGTTAACGCGGCAGGTAAATAATCAACTAACAGTGCATATTATGTTAGCGCGATCTGCCTTATTACAAAACCTGCCATTACTGTGCGTTTAGGTGACCATGATGAGAGAGACAGAGTCTGGCTCAGATGCTGCCAGTTCTCGCTGCAGTCTACCGTTAGCGTCTCCTTTCAGGCCAGGATAGATGAATGTCACCGAGCAGTGACTCAGTTTGTGGTCAAAGGCTTGCACCCGTTTGCCACAGCAGATGATTTTCAGTAAGTGAATGTGTTTAATTGTAGGCAGGGACATTACTGGATATTCTTGTGTAATTGCTACAGAATAATTTATGTTATACTTTGTTATTGCTACAGAAGAATATTTATTTTATTATTTTACATTTACAATGTTTTTCCTGGGGACCCTGTGACACCCCATTGAAGAGCCGTAGGCTGTGGATCTCTTAAGATCTCACTGTTGGGTTTGTAAGGCCATGTTACTCCTAAATTTCTATCTTGTTCAAAGAGAAGATATAAAACAAAGTTCTGAGCTATTCGACCTTAGTGTTCTCCTTTTTTAAAAATAAGAATCGATAAAGAATCGAATCGTTAAACAGAATCAAAAATGGAATCAGAATCGTGAAAATCTTATCAATACCCATCCCTACTAGACATGTTTTTCACAGTTATACAAAAAGATAAAAAAAGGTGAGGACTTGCTCACTTGAATGTCAGATAGTTATAAAGATCAACTACAATGGACCATATGTAACTGATGGCTGTCGCAGCTCAACCACAGGTTCATAATACATCCTCTGAGGTTGTGTATTGTGAGATTTGGGTGAGGTCTGCAGTTAGTCCTGACTCATGACCTTTCGCCTACAATTAGTATTGCATTGGTACTTTCTGTACCTTAACCAAGAAATTGAAATTGAAAAAGCAATTTTTGTTTAAAAAGGCTAAAACTATATTGTTGCTTCGTTATCTTTCCATCATATTCTACCAAAATCATTTTAATAACACACTGCGAGACAACAGAAAGCTCTGTCCAAAATCCCCGACAGGCAGCATCGCTTGCATCCATCATACAAACTAACTGTTGTGTCTTTGTGATGGTGTTTAGTGGGTCATACTCTCTGTGCCGTCCGCTTCGGCCTGCTCTTCTCTCTGTTTCTTCTTGAACTTCATGTTACCGAAGTGCATGATGGCTCCAACAATTTTGTAGCAGCCATACTTCTCCTCTGGAGTGAAGCCCAGCGTGTCCATGGCATGCTGCACACAAACATACAGATTACAGTTTACACACATCATCAGAGAGAGTTTTCTGTGAGACGCTGTGTTCCTCTTACGTCGGTGAGCCTCAGTTCCTCTCCGTCACTCATGCCCTCCACCGTGGTCACACCCTGAGAGCAGAAGTGGTAGTCGTAGGGGTTGGTGGTCACCAGCAGCATGTCTGCATCACACATCATGAAATTATTTTATCATTAGTTATCACAGTTAACCCTCTCTTTCTTCCATGCTCCTCACACTGTAAATGGCATGTTTCATATTTTGTGTGGTTACATTTCTTAATGTTATTCTTCAGTTATTTGGTAAGCAGAGGCAAAGACAGAAAACTGTAATAGCTGCCTCGTTGTTTTAGGTCAGTCAAGTTATTTGTCGGGGGTGCATAAACTTATGCACCGAAGCCTCCCCAGATTGCTGGGTTGAGAAATTTGATTTTAAAGACGTGCATTGTTTTTATTGTTCTGCATGTTCTTGGTTTTATTTCTGTTAATAATGCAGTTCTATTAAACTGAGTGTCATTTATGTAGCTGGTGTCTTTCATTGGACAGGTTACAGCACTGGGTAGTTTTTTTGTTTGTTTTTTACCTTGTAATTCTGGCTTATGATTGGACAGAATCTGGTAATAGATGTGGTAGCTTCTCTCTCCTGGTTGCTGGAAAACAACTCTTGACTTTTCTAAAAGGTCTGAGGAAAATAAACACAAACTACGTCACTCATCAGCCAAAGCATCGCGAGATACCCACAACATCTCACAACCTTTCAGTGTCTGACGCTGAGATGTTAGTAACACATCTTGTCTTGCAATACCACTAAGCCATAAAATGAAGTATGCCCAAGAAATGTAAGATATTGGAAACTTGGAGGACTGTATAGTAACTGCTGCATGACTTAAACTGTTCCTCAGTAATTTGTCACAGTGTACTAGGAGTGTTTGGGATGTACCTCTTTTTCCAACAATGCCCCAGAGCTTTTAATTTTTGAGACAAGTTTTCAGTGAACTAATGTGCTGTTTCAGCCCTTTTTTACGGTGGCCCCTAGAGACAAAGCACATGCAAACTCCAAAACACTTGCAAACTCCAAAACACATGCAAACTCCAAAACACTTGCAAACTCCAAAACACATGCAAACTCCAAAACACTTGCAAACTCCAAAACACGTACAAACTCCAAAACACTTGCAAATCCCAAAACACTTGCAAACTCCAAAACACAAAAAACAAGTGTTTTGGAGTTTGCAAGTGTTTTGGAGTTTGTACGTGCTTTGTCTCTAGGGGCCACCATACTTTTTAGACCCGCATACCTTACAAAATTCTACACTAGATGGATGGATGGTTTTAATTAAAACGTATTTGTGGCTGTGTGATAATAAAATGCCATTTGAAAAATGCTGAGTAGAAAGGCTAACATGTTCGGCAAGTGCAGTTTAACTTTAACAAATTCAAACTTGGAATAACTTTTTGAGAACACTTACAGATGTCGATGTCAGCAGACGCCAGCTTCCCTGTTGGGCCAAAGTGAATTCTGATGAACTTTCCCTGGAGCACACAAATACAAACCCACGGTCTTTACAACACATCTACACAGAAATCCACATGAGACACAAAGCTGTGTTCTCCACTCCAGCCTTGAGGATGAACTCACAAAGCGGGAGGAGTTGTCATTGCGGATGGTTTTGGCATTCCCAAATGCTTCCATAGCTGGATTAGCTTCAATAATCTGATCCTCTAAAGATCCCTGAATACAAAGAGAAACATTGCAAAGACATATTCCCAGTATGGGTATTTTTTTTCACTATGGACTGGAACAGTTAAGGAAAAGAGAAACTGTTGAGTCTTACTCTTTTTTTCACATTTTCTCCTAGAGCAGCGATGGTGGCAAAGTACTGTATCACCCTCTTAGTGTTGACCGTTTTCCCGGCACCTGACTCACCTCTGAAAGGATGGTGTAAAAACAAAGCCAATTTTCAGTTAAACAGTTTAAAATACGCCTTTATCAGTGAATGAGAGCCATAAAATATTGGTGCTACTTCATCATGACATGTATAAACTCTACAACTCTGAGGCGAAAGACAGAACGAATACACTGGGGCACATATTAAATGGTCCACGGCCCGGTGTCCAAGGAGCTGATGGGATGCCCACCCCCACGGGTGTGGCTGTCGACTCCACACCTGCATCCCATCCCAGGTGATCAGGTGGACCATTTAACCCAGCTCAGCCAGCTGCTCCACGCCAGTCCGTTAGTTGCCTCTCAGCGGTAACAGCTCGACGTGTTTGGAGCCCTCTCCTGCCCGCCTGGAGTTTTTGGACCGGCACTCGTCTCCTCTAATCACCTGGAGCTTCCCCGCGGACCCTCACCCCTCCCTCCGGTTCCCACGGCCCCATCTGAACCGTAAGATTAATTCTCTACCCACGTATGCTGTTATTTCTCCGTTCCCCAGTAACCCTCTTCCTCTTTCTGTTGCAGCCTCCCACAGTCCCGATTACGGCGTTCCTGAGTTATTTTCCGGTCCCTTGGTTTTCTAGTTACCTGGCGTGTTTTCCTTTGACCCTTCGGGACACCCTTAGTTAAAATAAAGGTTTTTTGTGTCTCTGTGAACAGAAGTGTAGTTTTGGAGTATTTTAGATACTAATTAGCAACTTTTTGTCATCTCTGCACCATCTTATTTTAAAATTTGGATTTCCACAATACATTTTTTTTCAATAAGACCATAAACTCTTGATTGCGACCATTAAGCCATCATGAAATATTTACTAAATAATCAAGGGCGTGGCAGAGGCATTTACCCATCGACTTGTACACGACTTTGAAACTAGAGGAGTCTCCCCCTGCTGGCCAATAGAAAGAATGTTCCTGGTTAACAGCTTTATGCTCTGACCTAGAAGCTACTTCCATCTTTTTATATGTAGTCTGTGGTTTAAATTAAATAAACTGCACGTTTATATACAGGACATGGTTTGCTTTTCTCATAAAATTCACATTTCCATTTGTATTTTTATTATGATGTCATATTACCGACCGTAATGTTAGACCAGCTGTGATTCTGACTTACGTGATGAGCATTGACTGGTTCTCACGATCTGTGGGGGAAATAAAACCAAGTGAAGAAATATTCAGAAGAGGCAAATTATGAGCTCAAAGTTTATCCACTAAGCAAACTGTTAAAAAAGATTTATTCACACATTCACCTAAAGTGGTCCGTACATTGACACCACAAACACAGACTATACCTTTAATGTTTAATCGGAATAAAAGGTGCAGCATAGAAGACATTATCAACTGGCTGGTTGCCAGGTAACGACTGCAATGAGAAAGCTGACAGCATGGCTGATGAGGCTAAAGGTGACTCACTCTGCAGCAGGTCAGTGTAAGCATTGTCAGCGATGGCGTAGATGTGGGGCGGCATTTCTGCACGGCGCCTCCCTTTGTAGGCTGTCACCACCTGAGGAGTGTAGACCGGCAGCCATTTGTATGGATTGACTGTGACACAGAACAGACCAGAGTAGGTCTGACAGAGACACACAGTTAGAAACACACAGTGAGGAAGATGGAAACATGTTTTTGATGGTTGTACATTAGATGCTAACATAGATCATCCACATGCTGTATCTCCTCCTCAGGTTGAAGAGGACAGATGCTTCGTTCAGGTGTGTCAACATGGCCATGTCCTCTATCATGTCGAACTTAGAAGGGTTCATTGGCTGGAGGTCGTCTTCGTTTACTATTAGAAACTGAAACACACAAACACACGTGAAGCTTTAGTTAAACCCCTCAAAGTGAAATTTAACTATTTGTTTTTTGATTGTGAAATAAGAAAAACAACATTTTAACTCAGGACAGCAAAACGGTGCATGGAAACAAAAAAGATCAAAAGGAGATGTAGTTTTATTTTGGGGGATAATTGGGGCTCGCGTGCTTCTACTCAACATATTAAATGACTAAATAATAATAATGAATAAACAGCATATCGAGTAATCAGAATTAGCTGGCTGACTGACCCGTCCGTCTTTGGTCTCCACAGTAGTCTTGTTTCCACTCAGCTCTCTGATCTCCACTTCAGTGTATGCTTCAGTTTCATCGGGCATCCAAATGCGCTTCGTGCCTAAGAGAAATGGATTACATAGTATTTTATTTAGTATGCAGTAGCATATATATATACATACAGCATCTATGTACAGAGCAGAGGTGGGAAGTACAAATACTTTGTTACTTTGTTATTTCCTAATTTTCAGGTATCTGTACTTAACTTGAGTATTTATTTTCCTCAAAACCGTTCACTTTTACTCCCTACATTTTAACTTGTATATCTGTACTTTCTACTGTTTACATTTTTGAAACAGGCTCCTTACTTCAGACATCAAAGCGATGTGAGCCTAAACAGTAGTGCATGAAAGGCAGTACTGTTTGTGTTTTGATGACCAGGGTTGCTGCACACTGTGTGTCATAGTCTGGTGTTAAAGTGGGCCCGTGTTTGTTTGTCTTTTTACAAAGGTAAGGAGTGCTCAGGTAAGGAGTACCGGTAGTAAAGAACAGTGTGTGATTGGTGCACAGCTGTGGTGTAGCACAGACTGATTGGATGTTAGGTGATGATGCTGAGATTCAGTCACTGAATTCCACCTTCATACCTTCTAGTATAAAAACAACAAACTGTATCGTCTCAGTGTAGAGGATGGGACTCAGTCAGGACAACTAAAGCTCAGAGCAGCAGGACTTAAGCAAAGAAGTTGAATCACTACTTTGACTTTTACTGGAGTCGTTTTTTTACACTAGTATCTTTTCTTATACTTAAGTACAGATTGTTCGTATTTTCCACCTCTGGTACAGAGAAATATAAAAAGGAAACGGAGACCGTCAAAAGCATGGGCCTTGGCAGCCAGCTGTTCCAAGTTGGTGAGGCGGAGGTAGCGAGCCGCTTCTCCAAACTCCGCCATGTCCAGGAACCGAGACATCTGAACACAAACATCACAGATATGAGCATTCATTAAAGATCCTCGGAGGGCTGTTATTTCCCAAACAATGTGGAAAAGATGTGGTACTTTCTGCCATCTTGCTTTGCTTTAAATGTTCTGAAGGCTCATGAGCAAACGTTTAAAGCATTCTCAGACAGCAGCATTTATCACCATGCTAATAAATAACAGCTGGCTTTCTTCTGGCTAAGGTAGCGCGACACTGATCCAACGTCTGCACCAACTTCTTCCCGTTCTGTTGCGTTGGCTGCAGATATGTTCTGATACAAAGTTCAGATGCTCATTTTCCACCAGTCACACTTGAGAGGACGTGCACCGTCATTGTTTAATGCAAACGTCATCAGTAGGTTTCTCATGTAGAGGCTGCGTCTGTTTCTTGAAATTATTTACAGCGAGAAAAAAATAGAACATGAGCACATTTATCTTTCCCATCATTATAAGCCACGATCATTCATCCCATCGACTGCACTATAAATCTTTATTTAGCTGCGAGTAAATCCCAGGCAGGAACTGGACTAAACTGTGATGTCAACAAATTGGCATGGCAGTCATTCACAGTAGTTCTGGCCTAAACTCGCTGCATTACTCAGGCTTTCCGAGAGAGCTAACAGCTGCCACATCAGCTCAAGAGGATCCTTTTGCATCGCTCAGGCGTCTCCCTGCATTACTGCCCACAGCTGAGTTGATGCTGCCTGCAGAAATTCTTCTAGTAAATATAACCCTTCAGTTATCTCCCTTTGTGTGAGTCTGAGTGCCTTAACTAAGACTCACGAGATGAGGTGAAGCGTCTCTACGGCATCTGTGGTTCAAAAGGTAGGCTGTCTATAAATGAGAAGGTCAGTGGTTCGATCCCTGCCTCCTCTACTCGTTGAAGAGTCCTTGATACTGAATCTTGGGTTTGAAATGTCTGAGTGTAAACGTGATTCTGCATAGAACAAAGTGCTTGAATGAATGAGGCTTTTCATAAGAAAGTACTCTGAGTGCTCAAATACTCTAGAAAAATGCTGTACAAGTCCACTTTTCCTTTTCAACATCAGGACAGAGTTAACTGGGAGAAGACTATTTTATTAGTGGGCAGAAATCATCTGCTTGGTCACATTTGACCTAATAAACCTAAATCCATTCACCCCTGAGTCCACAGTTCAAATATGGTGAGTAACATATTGAACTGTTGATAAATGTTGATTATTTGGGAGTGAACACAGAAACCTGTTCCTCAGTCTGCTTCTTATAAAATAAGAGCAACATAATAATGTTTTATTAGTACTTGTTTATATTTTAAGGCTTCTGTTCTTTTCTGGTTTAACGAGGTTTAGTAAGAACATTCACATACTTCTGAGCACCAGTAAAGACTCTTTAGTTGTTGAAGCTCATGAAGCTAAATTTTCACCTTATTTCATTAAAAATGAAGCAGATTTGAAACAAACTCTCCAGGTCTTTTAGATTCAATTTAAGATCAGCTAATACAAAAGGACATTAGTGAATAAGCAGGGACACAATTCTGTTTCTGAAAATTAGGATGACCATCTCACAATCTGACTGCAGCCAGTGGGGATGCAACAGGAATAATGTGCAATTTTGTCAAAATGAAACAAAGTAAAACATATAAAACTATTTTTTTTGTAGGACATTAGTAAACAGGTAACTTCATCACTGCGTCACAATCCTACAGCTGTTACCAAGGAGCAGATAATAATGGTGTTAGCCATTAGCCGTGTCATGGGATGACATGGGATGAAGCAACAACTGCCGCGATAGACCGAGTTCGATGGCGTTCTCTTGTCGCCCGATGCGCTGATCGGCGCGGGAGGATCTAAGTCTAAGTAAGTAAGTCTATTAGCCGTGCATCTTGTCCTCAGTTCAGTAGCAAACTTGCACTAAACTAAAGTTCACTAGATGAGTGTCACACAGTGTTGCTCATACTGGACTCACACAGTTACTGGGTAACACCTTCAGATGCTGAGGTTGTTGGGAAATTTGAATCCTTTAAATTTTTTGTAACTTTTTGTATTAAAAACTCAGTTACCCAAGTTGCTGTGTACAAATAAAATTCATCTTAGGATCTATGACAGTCATCTCAAATATCAAAGCATACATCATGGGGGCCTCGTACTTACTGTGCTGGGTGGCTCTGTTTTGAAGATCTTTGAGGATGTGCAGAAAAACACAATAGCGCAACTCAAAGAGCATCACTTTGCTTTATAACCTCACTGTGAAGGTCACTGCAGCATGTGACCCCCTCCCCTGCAGCTGACTGGGCAGACTGGTCTGCTGGACGGTCATAAAAGGCCTGCTGTGGTCAGGATAGAATACCAAACTAAAGCAGAACCAAAGCCCCATCTGCTCCCTCCTCATCCTGGTTTTCTCCCACTGCATCCCGGTCTATCTATGGAGACTGACTGTCCACTGCTGACTTTCCCTCTGTGCTTCTGCCCATCTGTGTTTGGTTCCATCTTTCTGACATGTATACATGTATTAAACCCCAATTATTCTTTATTTAACCCTGCGGTGTCAAACTTAAGCCAAGCTGTCAATGAACTGCTGATGTGGTAAATCAGAGAAACCTGTCAGCATTGCTCCTCAGGCTCTAAAATCTCTAAAGGTAAATAGACTTTTTAAAAAAATATTAATTCACAGAAATTTCCTGTTTATTCTTCAACTTTTTTTTCTTATAGCCCACCTGTTAACAAAAATTCTTATATTTACTGGCTTTAATCACAGCACAGTGCTAGGACTCAGATTTTTGATGGGTGAAAGTCATTCATGTCTTCAGTAGTTAGTTTTCAGTATCTGCTTCTATTCATAGAATATTCATTCACATAAACATTGAAAGCAAAGATGTAATTTAATAAAGTCTGAATAATTAGTTATATAGATGCGAGCTATGCTAACTTATATCAGCAGATTGAGCAGCTATAAACTCATTTATCTGTTAAAATTTAAATCATTGCAGTTTCTAAAATGGAAACAAATGAGCAGTTCACTTTGTACGACTGGTGTTTTTTTCTTTTTTGAATGTTTATAATTGCTTCCCCGCATAAAATACTGTGTAACCACATTCCGCTAATGCTATGCTAACTGGAAACCCATGAACTACCTACCACTACTTTAATTAGAAAATAATGGCATTGGTCTTCTGAGTTTTGGCTTCTTTATCTGTTAATAATAGAAAAGATTCACTCTAATAAACTGTGATTGTCTTTTCAAGCAAACACCACCCTTAGAAGCTGCTTTTAAGCTCCCATCATCCTCTGTTTTCCTCCATCAGTCACTGACAGTAATAAATAAGACAATGATGCACATCATGTTTCACTGACTGATAACACACTGAGCGAGTCCAGGCAGGATTTGGACCGCAGTGGATTTTGACATTAGATTTCTCTGTGCAGAGTTGAATAGATCTGCAGTGGGGATTAAACTCGCGGCTTTCAGCTTTGATATCGTGCTATTTTTACACTGAGAACAACCAGCCTTCTGCTGCCTCTTTAATCTCGTGAAAACTCAGCTCGCTCCACTGTTCGGCTGGTTTTTGAGGACCAGCTCACATATCAACAGGCAGGGGAACTGAAAATCACATAGCATTAGGCGGTGTAAGTTGGGGCAGTCATATTATAAAGATTACCAAAAGAATCTGCAGGCTGCTCCCAGAGCTACTGTCCATGGTTCCAGCTTTGAGCCCAGCAGTACTGTGGCAGATAGATTTAATATGACGTCGGCCCACATTTTGCAGCTCTAGTAGCGTCAGCTCTTCTCGGCTTTCCTCAAGGTTTAGGAGTGTTTATGGGAATTTTGGACCATTCTTTAAGAAAAGCATGTGACGTCAGACTCTAAAGTTGGCTGCAGTCTCTGTTCTAATTCATCCCAAATGTCTTCTGTTGGGTTGAGGTCACAACTCTGTGCAGGCCAGTCAAGTTCTTCCACATCAAACTCCCTCATCCATGTCTTTATGAACCTTTCTTTG